GAAAGGATTTTATTGTTCCTGAGACACTTAGTCAATAAAATATACTCTGTTGGTTACTTCTTCTTTAGCAAATAGGTGACCAATTTCAGACAGCCAGTAATGCTGGATCTCGTCTTGAAGTCTGTAAGTGCTTTACTATAGCTTTGGTTAGTTAAAAGTCTGTTGTGATTAATATGAATTTAGGCATCTATTTTTACAAATAACTACTGAAATCTATATCCAGATGTGGTAGCAGTTTCAGCTGCTTTTGACTGAAAAACTTTCTTCTAATTTTTAGAGAAATGGCAGTAATGATGATTTCTTTTCTTGTCAACCATGATGTTGCAGGATACCTATTAGCACACTAGGCAAAATTTTTCCATCTGGAAAAATTTTGGAATAAATGACTGTTGTAAGTGTCAACATTTGTTTTGAGACAAATGAGTTCTGTAGTCAGAGGAGGAAAAAACTCACTAATTCTGACCAATAAAATTATGGAAAACCTGGAATTCTGTTATGTGAAAATTGTGAAAAAAGTGCCTTTTCAAAAATGAAGAATTAAAATTTTAATATTTTTGAAATGAAGAATGAGTAGTTTCAAGAAATTACAATGTGGTTCTTTCTATAAGCACCTATGTTTCAAAATAAAAAAAATGAAGTTAAAGAGACATTTACAAAACACAGTTTATCTTAGTCTGAAGTAGATGTCTAAGGTGGTTGAGATGATCCATTCCAGAAGTGCCTGCATTTTTGTACTGATTGTGGATGGAGCCTAGATAATTTAAATTAGATGTACAGCTTTTAGGTGGCTGACGTTATGGGATTTCCACTCCGATTTTCCTGTTGCACAGTTTCTCGGTTCATTTTCAGCTGATCTTTTCTGCTCTCCTCCACTGACATCTTCACTCGTCCTCAATGAAGTAAAGCCCTCATCTGTAGAAGCAAGTCGATTTATAAGGTACCAGGGAATAAACGAGATTTTGAGCATGATTGGCTGTCACAGAGATGAAGCTGAAACTTCTCCATGGGAGGAGGACAGCTTGATCTGTGTTCAGCTGTGGAAGGACTCTCTCCAGCTGGCTCTGCAGACCAGTAAAGTCGTTAAAAGTATCCCAGGGATTTCTTGGGCACAGAGCTAAAGAAAAAGACACTGGCTGCTTCCATGGACTTTTAGGCAAATGCAGATAAACAGCACATACCAAGGGCAGAGCTGAGCATGAATGGGCTTCTTGAAGGTGAAAAAGTACTTGCTGGAGAAACTATGACAGTGTTTCCATAGGTAGCTGTGGACAGGTAGTTCATCAATGCTATTTAATTATCAACAAATTTATTTTATCTCTTGGAGTAGCAGGGACTGAGGAAGCTCTTTCAGGCTTTAGAGCATGTTTGGTTCTGCATCTCTGAAAAGTGTTAGGCTTTCATTGTCACAGTCTATAGAATGGAATTTTCACTTGTGACCATTAATGTGGAAGTCCAGAACCATATTATTTAGCCCCTTTCAGGTAGAATCTGCAAGCCCCCTGTCATATAGTATGCAATCCTCGTTAAAATAAACTGGTTGTTTCCATCTTCCACTTACATTTAAGGAACAGTTTGAAAAATGTTGACACCAGGAAACAAGCTGAGAGCAAGTGATGCGTGTATCTCTGTGTGTTGTATATATAGAATGACACCCTTTTGTTTTATGGCATTGTGCATTAAGAAAAAGTTGTTAGTGGCATCATTATACACTATAGCTGTTTCTGGGACTCTCAGTACATATGACAAATTAAATCCTGTACAGCTTTTTCTTTGGCCCAGTTCATTAATTTCTGGAATTATGTACTTCGAGAAACAATTTAAACCTCCTTTTGATTACACAAGGTAAAGACAAAGTGATTCTAGCTTCGAGCTTACCAAGGATGAGGTTAATGTATGGCAAGCAATAATGCTGAAGAAGGAACTGAGTAGTACCATGTGGACTTTCTCCTTCTCTGTGTAGCTCACTCACTGGAAGCCGTAAAATCTGGTTGGTATAACAGAAGTGTTTGTAATTAGAGTTAATGGAGTTAGTTGAGACCACAGGAGGGGGAAAGTAGCTTTGATCCCAGGTGGCCTCATAGCAAGGAGGCTCACAGCAAGGGAGCACTCTGAGTTGGAAAATATCAGAGGCATTTGCTGCAAAACCAAGAAGTCACTGTTGGAAAAGGCCTAGGACTATAATTTACAAGCAGAACTAATTTAGTTTCCCATCTCTTCAATTTTCTCCCCAGTCACAACATTCAAAATAAGGATGAGTTTTTTCTGTGATCTATTTTTTACTAAAAACGCTAATTGGTTCTTAGCAATTAGTTTATACTATCTTGGTCATATTGTCTTGATAGGAAAGAAAAAGGTAGGATGAAGGCAAATCTATCAAATCATTCCTGAAGGGGAAGCAACACATTCATTACTTTTAGTAATGTAAAAGTATTGCTTCATAATAGCTGAATTATTCATTGTCATAGCTTTTTGGGTTTTCTATTGTCACTGTTACTGAGTATCCACTTTTGGAAAACTCATGACATAAATACGGTACTTAGTGAATATCATAGTGAGATTTTAACTCACTAAAAAATAATATTTAGAGACTCTTTATGGTGTAATCATTCTTTTTGTGGTAGAGTTTTGGAACATCACCTAAGAGATATAAAATTACTCATTACTTAAAGCGATTTGTGACTTACACCAATAAACTAAGCAATCACTTAAGAGTAAGCAGATGGAATACTTGCAGACTGCATTTTTTCATCAAAAATATTCTTCAAACTGTATATGCACTTATGTTTGTTTTCATCCTTCCATATTGAATAAATAAATGAATTTAAAAGTCTATCCCAAATTATTTGAGTAAAAAGAAAAATATTCAAAAGAAAGTACAAATTAAGGAAAAACATGACAAAAGGGGGGAGGGACTTTTTCTCTAGATGAAGACTAAGTTTGGAATGGGAACTGCTGAGAGGGAGTGATTCCAAATAACAAAATCTACAAAGGCAATCTGTTTATCAGTTCAAGCAGTTTGTTGACATCATTATTTAAATATTAAAGAAAGAAAATTGAGATACTTCAGGGTGCCTCAAGTTCATAGGAGTTTTTTTGAAACAGGAAGGTGACTTTTAGTCAGATATTGGGGATATACAGGAGAAGACCAGTAGTTACGATGTAGTCACACATCTCTGCATTTATGAGGAGGGAAATTAGTGGGGCTAGGCTTTGAGGAGCTCTCAGGAGCCTTTGAGGAAAGGATCCACAACAGTCTTGCAGAGGAGACAGAAAACATGTATAAGGGTCTTAGCAGAGCAAGGTTAATGTACTACAACTTAAAAGAGGTATAAGCATTGAGAAAATACTCTTAGGATCTAGAGGCTGCAGATGAACTCACGTGTATAGACTCTTACCAGGGAAGACAACCTTAGGCTGTATGCTAACGAGGAACAACGATATGAATGGCACAGGCACGTTTGGTAGAGATTCAGCAGCACAAATGGTATCAGAATGGAGAGTCATTTGGCTCCCTCAGCAGCTGCAGAGTACACGGTCTGTGAAGATGCAGCAAAATATGATTGTGCTACACAAAGAAAGGGTTTAATACACTTACTAGAACCAGAAGTCAATTATTTAGTTAATCTAAAATATTGATCAAAGTTCCCAGTAAACAACCAAAGCCCTAGAAAGCAGTAATAATGAAAATTTCCTGAGAGCAGTTTAAGTAGAATTTGAGCCTTAGAGCTGCTAGGCAGTGGAAGGGTGGATTATGCATAGCCAAATAAAATGTTGGCTTTGGGAGGCAGAATGAAGGCAAAGGGAGTCCCAGTGCAATTAAATATAGCATTTTGAAGAAGCTTGTATAGTTTTTTACACAGACTATTGTCACTCTGTTCTCATGCTGATGACCTCAATATCCTGCATTAGCAATACTTATTTAAGTATAAATATTTCAGCTTTGTATTGAGTGTCAGAAAGGCAGAAGGAAAAAGACAGTAAACAGGCTGACCTCAGATCCCTGCTAAATTCTCCTCTGACATTACATTACTTCTGTCAAACACACACAAAGAGATTTATGTGTCCATCCAGTCCTTTAACTGAATTTATTAAAGATGGTATTTCCGGCTTAGTGAAAGTGACTGCCAGCTCCATGCATTCCCACACTAGAGCAACATTTGGCAAAGATAAAAAGGAATTAATCAGTAAACTTTTTGTTTTGTTTTGTTTTCTGTGCACCTTTCACTCTCCCATCCCTTATTTTTTCACCAAATATCAACATTCTCAATGGAAAACAGTCACTTCCTTTCTCTCTGATTAACATCAGCAGTGAAGGAAGGAGAGGAGGGGGATGGAAGGGAATAAAGAAAGAACCACCCAGCACACTGGGAAAAACATGAGAATGATCAAATTATCTTCTGGTTTCAATCTGTGAGCTGTGCTGTCTTGAACTCCATAGTCTTTTATTTATACAAATAAAATAAACAAATTAGATCTGATTGAATGTGCTAGCAAGAAAAGGTGAGCAAAAAAAAAAAAAAAAACAACAGTAGAAAGTTTAGCAATGACAAAAAATCCTCAGAGCCATTAGATAAATTCCTGGGAAATTTGATGTTTCCCAAACATTTTTTTGTGCCCGGTGTTCTGATTCTGGCATGTTCTACATACTGTGGCTTTGATTAGAGATTAATCAAGACTCATCTTTTTCTTGGACCATGGCAAGTGCATTCCTAGCATTTAAAAAGGAAGAGTTTTCTCATGCCAAACTCATCTGTGATTTATTGCCTCGTGGGCTCATTTGGATTTAGTTTTGGAGTCTGGCACCAATTCCTTAATTGCTTTGGTCACTTCATTCCATTTCTCCATTCTGAAGTTCCTCATCTGCAAAACCAGAGGAATGATAAACATACAACCACGGTAAAAGTCATTATAATAACTTACTGGAGCCCCTCAGAAAACAGTAGGGACTTTAAACATGGTCTGAGAGGCAAGGGTGTTACCTTGAAGAATCTCACCTTGTTTCCATCCCTTTAACTCCAAGTTCTGGGATGTTGTCAGGGAGGTAATGAGTGTGGGCTCTGACACACTGGGGTGGAAATGATTTGTAGCTTCTTGCTTTTTCTGACTTTTGTCTAGAATACAGAAAAGGGAATTCTACCATGTTTCCACCTCCCTGTGATCTCCCCTAGAATAGTGTACCTGGCTTCAAGTAATTACTTTCTACTTACTGAAAATACCTGAGTTTAAATGGAGATGATAGTGAAAATGTAAGCATAATTATATTTTTCCTAATATTTTAAGAAACTTCCATGAGTGACTTTAAGCCGGTCTGTAATTTAAAATGCAATTTACTTTTTCTAATTTAATGTCCACTGTAAGTAAGTAGAGAAAGGGAAAAGAAGAAGCACAAACAGGTGTTGAACTACTTCTCTGGCTTACCAATAAACAAAAAAAATTTCTCCAACAGAAGGCCCACTGTTACTTATTTGCCTTCCAAGGAAGATTATGGGGCAGTGAATAAGGCAGGAGACAACTTTCCTTGCAGAAGAGAATTTATCAATAAATATTCGGTCAGACCAGAAACAGACTTACATTTCTACTTGATGTCCTTCTGGATTTGGTGGCTTTGGTCTCTCTGAACCTCAAATATTCTGTGAGAGTATGAAAATGGTATCAGGAATGAGAGTAAATTTCTTGAATCAGGCAATAACACTTTTCCCTCAGTGTCATCCATATTTTTATTATTTCTTTTAATGATTTTTTTCAATATTTTAAGTGCTCAGTACAAAAGAAACTGGAAGATTTTATCACTGGTTTGGAAAACAAAAGAATATTACGGAAACCTTACCAGGAAAAAAATAAGAGCACAGGCACCAGAACAGTAAAACAGTGACACTAACTTACAGATAGCATAACCTATATACAGATGGCTGTTCTGGTATCTTTGATAGAAACAAAACATTCGAATTTCTCTCACCCATAAAACAGTGTTTATCCTTGAGTAACGTTTCCTGTGATCACACTTTAAAGTATAAATATTATTTTGTATGCTGATAGTGGGCGGAAGAAAAAATTTCTTTTATTCTGAAAGGTAAGAAAATAAGCAAGTATAACTGGAGAAACTTTTGTCCTGGATTCAAAAGAATGTAGCAGATACTTTCTCTCATTTACTCTTTATCAAGGATATTATGTAGAGATGTATTTGGGAAAGTTTATTTTTCTTTCAATTAAAAAAATGAAAAATCTCCATGGCATGGGGAACACCTCTTTTAAAGTTTGACATGTCAATATTTTAGAATTTATGAGGAGAATTTTAATATATGAGTTCATAACCAGGAAAGAAAAAAAAAAACAACCTATATACTTTTTGTCTAAAATGTGCAGAAAAATTCAAAAGTTTTTTTCATAGCTTTAAACAGTTTCTGTTGACAGCATGCATCTGATTTCCAGGCTACATACTTCTACCTGTCCTGGTGTCATAGTTTGAAATTGGCCCCCCCTGAGAGGCTGGGGGGGCTCGGGGTGATTGGGTGCCAGGACAGTGTTCCCTGGAGAGGCAATCACTGTCCATGTCGTTCGCTTCTGCTCAAAATCATATATCACAGCACCAGAAACAGTTTGCAGTTCAGTCTTGGTTGTTTTGCTGTTGGTGTCTGCTGCGTGTAGGTGGACAAGGCCAGGGGGTGGCTCGGCTCCCTCTCTTCCCCTCCGGGTGGAGAGGGGAGCCCTGCGACCCCCCAACTCAGCCTTTGGCTAGAGTTAGAGTCAGCATTTGGAGTGTGTGCTGTGGAAGAAGAATTCACAGCACCTGAGGTAAGAAGAGAGAGGCAGGCTTTGCAGCCAAACCTTCTTCCCCCTCCTTTTCTGCAGCGAAGCTGTAGAGGGGGGCTTTTTCTTTCCCTCCCCTGTGAGTGGAGGAGGGGCTCAGAGTTGGAGCTGAGCCAAGAGACGGGCCATGGAAGTAGGCCCAGCGCTCGGGAGAAGAGTCCCAGGGGAAACTGGAGATGAGCCAAGAGCTCGAGAGCTGCCTGCCGAAGCTGACCAAGGGTAGCTGAGAACTGATGTGGAGGAATGAAGATTCCAGGATGTGGATGCTTGATAAGCTAAGCTACACTACAGCAGCTTACAAACCGAGGTGAGACACTGAGAGGGAGGAATCACCAGCAACAGAAGAGCAAGGACTCAAAGCTATCTTCTCGGACTTCATGAGGAGGAGAGACTACAACAAACAACTGCTGGAACTTAGTGAGGAGGGAGTGTTCAGGAGCCCAGAGCACTCCCACAGCAAAAGACTGTGTTACATATCAGCCTTAAAGGTTGCTCCTGGACTAAAGTTAAAGGAGGGGCTTGAAAGGACTGACTGATAGTAATGTAATATATATATATATATATAGTTACCTTTAGTTTGTATAGTATTTATTTGTGTAAATAAATGTATATACTTCCCCCTTCCCCTACAGAAGCCTCTGGCCTGAAAGTTTCTCTCCGGTGTTAGGATAAATTGTTGAGAAGGGGTGGGGGAAGCCTGGAAATTGGATTTTAGATTTCTAATGTGGCTCAAACTGCCACACCTGGATTCTTCCTCCTGGTGTAAGATGCTGTTGTTCCATCTGATGCATTCTAAGGTTAAGATTATTCCCATAATCTTAATTGCCCCAGCCATGTCCTCCCTTTCTACTACAAAACATTGTATGGATGGCGTTTGATGTTCCTGAATATTTGTCCATGACTTTCGTATGTCCAGATCAGCAGAAGATGCCAGCAAGTGGGAAATAACGTGTTCACTGCAGTCCTGCTGCCAGTGTAGGAGCATGGCATAAGGCTCTTCCAGAGGTTCTGTGCTCACTGTGGGGAAAGCATCAGACATGCCCTGGTTGACTGCACAGCACCCACACGAGATGCCAGCGCTTCTGCAAAGCTTCACATGTGTTGTCCCTTCTTATCTCGGTCAGATTGGCCCAGATCTGCCTGGACATGTCAGATTTACTGTACATATGCAATCCATGTATGCACATTCATTTCTGTGTGGGGTATCTGAGGTGTCGAGGTAATGTATCTTAATTAAAAGTGACTGAACAATGGGCACACTAACAGGTAGGTCAAAACACTAAAGGAAATGCCTGGCAGAGTCAGATGTAGGCTCCCCTCAACTTCTCACTTGCAACACATCACTCCTTGGCTGCACAGCCATCACTCACGTGAGTCCTGTTGTTCTTCTTCCCCCTGTAGTGGTGGCAGATATTTGTCCTGCGTACTCTTTTTTTCACGTGCTGCTGTACACTTCTAATACACAGATATTTGATGACTCGTTCTATTAATTTTTAAAAAGCACAAATTTATATAAGCTTCTATTTAGAGAGGCTTTCCAGAGTCACAGAAAGTAATTGATCTTTTTTGGACTTTCTGCATGAATGAAAGGGAGTGCATTTGCAATAATAACAAGGAAATGACAATTTTCTAGTATGACATGAAAAAAAGAAATTCCTTTGAAAGTCTCTTTAAAATTCATACATCCCACCCAGGGTGTTCTATTGGTCTCCTTCATGTGTGAAAACATCTGAACATAATAAATTAATGTTCTTCTTCAGGGAGTAGCTATACTATCTCAAGGAAATAATTTATTTTAAACATGCTCCAAAGGTGGAAAGATCATTGCTAAATATGCATTCTTTAGTATTTTTGAGGACAAATATATGCTAAAATATTGTTCAATTTGTCTGAAATACTGAAAAGTAATCTTGTATTTTAATACAAGAAGCTAGTGCTCAGTAGTCCTTCCCAGTACTCCTTTCTTACTTCAAGGAGGTAAAACTGAATGTACTTATGACTAGTTTGCCTCCCCCCTCGTCCCCCAACGCAGATTCACAATACAATTCATTCAGTGAAAAGCCTTGAGCTTTTTTTTTTTTTTTTTTAACACAAGGAAAGCAGAAAAAGCAAAGTAAAGCATTGAATTCTCATCTCTCATCACACACTAGGAGGTAAATCCTGTCTCAGTGCTGGCCAGCCTGTACTGAACTTTGGTAGATAATTCTGGTAGTGGCACTCTGCACAGCCTTGTTTCCTTTCATAAAAAAGCAGAGCCGCTGCTTTTTATTCAGCTTGGCAAACTTTATTGAGAGGGCACCAGGAGAGAACAAACCACAGTTTTCATTAGCTCCCACCTTACAGCAGCCCAGGCCCATTCAAAGCTCTGCTAAGTCAACTAGAGGTCTTTTGATACCAAAAAGCTTTGAATCCAAGTGCCCAGAGAGAAATTATACATTGAATAAGAAAGAAATAGGAATGAAGGATAAAAATAATTACTCTATAAAAATGTGCTGCTTGTTCTATGACAATTTTAAGTGACATTCTTCAGAATGAGAAGTGAGCAGCTTGATTTGTGCTCATTGTTTTGGTGAGACCAGGTTCTTGAACTGAGAAACTGCAGGAACTAACTTTCAGGGAACTGTGAACATTATAATTTAGTATAAATATAAATTATATATATACAAAATATATTATATAATATAAATATAAATTATATATAATATATAATATATATAATTTATTAATAAAAATATATTTTATTATTTGCTTTTACATGTGTTTCTTTTACTTGTCTGTAAGCAAATGTAATTGAAAGTTGTGGTTTCTGTAGCATTCCTGAAAATAAATATTACTAACACCAATGACAAAACCTTAATGGAATATAGTGGGGAGGAGCAGCTGGTATACAAACAATAATTCTTTTAGACTGATTTACACATTTCTGAAAATGAATGAAAAATTATTATTACAAGTATACTTTGAAAGAAATGTTAGCGTTTATTGGGTGGATATTGCACCCTTTAAAATACATGCTATAAATATTTTGACATCGTTAAGAAAGTTAACAGAAAATCATAGAGTTCTGTAGAACTTAAAATGCTCCTGCTTTAAAATCTACATGGGAACAGGTTTCCCACTGACTTTCATCTATGTGTCACATGCAGAAGATTTCTCAGAATACAGCACACTCAAGAATAAACCAGAAATTACCAGAGAATGTTGTGCCTAGAAAATATATATTGTGGCCATGAAGGATATTTCATATTTATCATATATGGATGTCCTATGAAAACATATTTTAATTACTTTTTCACTCATCTTTTCTTTGTTGTTTGCTCAGATTTTGTGAGTCTGTGCTTTTTCACAATCAGAATACAATTAAGGAAAACATCTTTCTTTTCTGATCTGTTCTCTAGTGAGAATTGTGCATTAGTGAGTAGATAGATGTTTCAGAAACAAAGCAGAAGATTGCCTAACAACAGCATGCTTTCTTTAGAAAAATCTGTGCTTCCTGATTTGTCTGCATCAGAAATGTTGCAAAATAAGCCTTTTTTTTTTCCTGATTCCACAGTATTTCTGCTTTCTAACTACCGTATCCTGGTCACTTCCTCAAACAGGATGTGGAAAATACACATTATAGAACTTTATATTAACATGTGAAATCATCTTTAATATTTTTAAAAAGCAGCTTCTAGACAAAGAATTAAAGTAACTGAATAAATATTCAAACAAGACTTGGGATATTAATGGAAGAGTAAAGTGTCACTGACTTGAAACTCAGTAGGCATATGAATAAATTGTAACATGCAGAGACAGAAGAAATTACAGAAGAATTCCTTATGAACAGAGACAGTCTTGTTTGTATAGCAGTCAACATAGTTGAATATCACTTTTACTTGGAGCTTTAAGTGCTTCAGCAGCATCAGGGAGAATAATAAAAAGAATAACAAGAATAGTGTGGGCATACTAAATCCAACAGTACCAGGCAGTGATATTCAACATTATTCTTTCAAATGGTAGTGCTTAGTAAATAAGGAAGCAAACTCCTCCTTTCTACTGAAAACAGGGGAAATAAACTCTTTAAGTAGCTGAGAAAAAAATGTTATTATATCATGGGATATTTTAGCCACTAAGTAATGAAAACACCTCTGACATACAGAGAGTTGTCATTGAGTGAAAGAGGGAGTATTTTAAAGCAGGCTCTGCCATTTGCTATCCAACAAGGCAACTGCTGTCAGTAGGAATTGTCAGGCGTTGTAGTCCCCCACTCCAGCCCCCTACCTGGGCGAAGGGCAGGCACACAGCCAGTGTATCCCAAGTCTGGGGCTAGCTGTCTTAAGCTGACAACACACATACAGCATGGCTGGAGAGCTTCAAAAAACTGTGTTTGCAAAATGGAACCACTTTGCCAGCTCTTCATGTTGGGTGCCTCTGCACAAACAGCGTGGCAGCCCTGTGCCCCTGTGTGCATACTTTCAGAGTGTATGGATTCCTGTATTTAGCCCCAGTGAAGAGTTCACTATTGAACCTGTTTTACTAAGATCAACAAAACAAGTCAGAGGCCCTGTTTTACATTACCACGAGCAGTTCCTTATTATGCTTTTCAAAGTGGAATTTCACATATGCTCTTCTAAAAGGTACCAACTCTGCCTCCCCCCAT